TTCTATTCCCTTCAAAATACTTAAGAGCTATAGATGTAAATGCTATCTGATTCAGTGTCGTGGTGGACAGAAACACTCTTCAAAGGAAAGCTGTGTGTTTTGAATATGCTGTGTTACTATTCAGTCATACATCATTTTCCCATTGTAAAACATTTGTTCAGACCTGTGGATTTATGAAATTTGTTTTATTACTATAATGTCTATTTTGACCTCTTTGCATAGCTTCATAGCCATAGGTATCCTTAAGATGCTCATCATCCTATGGTTCACATATATAATAATATCATCAGTGATTTCAGGACACTAAGGCTGCATTCATTTCTTTCAAAGAGGGCAAGTAGCAGACTTCACAGACGATCTTTACCCAGTGCCTGCTATATACAGAGTTCTTTATTAGACTCTATGGCCATACATAGAATAATGAATGTATAACTTAACAATATTATATACTGCTTAGAGAACAGATGTTCTCAGGTTTTTTAAAAAAATTAACTATATATCTGTTCAAAGGGTACAGAGATTAAGTTAATCTTTAAAAAAACTTGAAAGAAGTGAGTTTTTAAAAATTCTTACTTTTAGTTAATGTGTAATAATTTACATATTTAGGAATCCAGAGTGATATTTCATTATATGTATACAATTTGTAGTGGTCAAACCAGGATAATTATCAATTCATCACTTCAAACATCTATTATTTTTGTGTGGGAAACATTCAATATCTCTTCTAGCTTTTTGAAACTACGCAATACACTATTGATAATTATATTGACTCTATGGTGTTATAAACCACCAAAACATCTTCCTCTTATCTGGCTGTAATTTTTTATCTGTAACCTAACTTTTCCCTGTCTCTGCCCTCGATCATTGCCAGTTTCCAAAAACCACAATTCTAATTTCTACTTCCATGAGCCAAATTTTTTAACTCCCACATGAGTGAGAAAATGCAGTAGTTACCTCTGTTCCTGACTCATTTTGTTTAACCTGCTGTCTCCCAGGCTCATCTACGTTGCTGCAAATGACATGATTTTGTTCCTTTTCTATGGGTAAACAGAATTCTATTGTGTATATATATCACATTTTATTTATTCATTCATCTGCTGATGAACATTTAGATTGAGTCTTTATTGTTAATAATGCTACAGTAATCATAGGGGTTCACATATCTCTTTCATGAACCGATTTCCTCTTCTTTGAATAAATTCCCAGTATTTTGGGATTGCTGGATCATATGGTAGTACTATTTTAGATTTTTAAGCAGTTTCCTTACTGTTTTCCATATTGGCTATACTAAATTACATTTCCACCAGTAGTATATAAGAGTTTCCATTTTTTTTCATCCTCACAAATTCTGGTGAATTTTATAAGGGTCTCACTATGTTGCCCAGCCTAGCTTCAAACACCTGGGCTCCAGCAAGCCTACACCACATACTCCCAAGTAGCTGGAACTAGAGGCAGGCACCGCCATGCCCATTTTTTGTATTTTTGATGATAGATATCCTAAAGAGAGTGAGATGATATCTCACTGTGGCTTTGATTTGCAATTCTGCAATTATAGTGATAATGAACACTGTCATATATGTGTTGGCCATGTGTATGTCTTGTTTTGAGAAATATCTATTCAAATCATTTTCCCATTTTATAATCAGATTATTATTGTTGCTGTTAAGCTGTTTGGGTTCCTTATATATTCTGTCTATTAGTCCCTCATTGGATGTATGGTTTGCAAATATTTTCTCCCATTCTACAAACTGTCTCTTAACTATGTTGATTCTTTTCTTTGTTGGGCAGAGGAAATAATCCTTTGCACAAGCAAGGAGAAAACTTTGCTTTTTTTTGATGTAGTCTCATTTGTCATTTTGCTTTCTGTTGTCTGTGCCTTTGAATCCTTACCTATAAAATCTTTTCTAGATCAATGTACTGAAGCCATTTCTCCAGGTTTTCTAATAATCTTTTAGTTTTGGGTCTGCATTTAAGTCTTTCATTCATTTTTAGTTTATTTTTATATGTGGTGACAGGTAGGAGTCTAGTTTTATTCTTCTACACATGGATATCCAATTTACCAAGCATCATTTACTAAAGAGGTTGTATTTTTTCCATTGTAAGTTCTTGGCATTTTTGCTGAAAATCAGTTGGCTTTAAATATATGGATTAATTTCTGAATTCCCCGTTATATTCCATGGGTCTGTGTGTCTGTTTTTACACCAATGCCATGCTCTTTTGATTACTATGAATTTATAGTACGTTTTGAAATCATGTAGTGTGATGCCTCTAGCTTAGTTCTTTTTGCTCAATATTGCTTTGGTTATTTGGGCTCTTTTGTGACTCTCTGTGAATTTGGGGATTGTTTTTTTTTTTCCAAATAATTTCCTTGATATTTTGGTAATGTTTGCATTGAAACTGTAGATTGCTTTGGATAGTTTAATCATTTCAACATTATTAATTCTTCCATTCCATGAACACAGAGCCTTTTCATTTTTTTTATTCCGCTTCAATTTCTTTCATTATTGTTTTATGGTTTTCATTTTAGAGATCTTTCACCTTCTTAGTTAAATTTATCTTTAACTAGGTTTTTTTTTTTTGTTTGCCATTAAATGGTATTTCTTTTTTGATTTATTTCTCATCTACTTTGTTTCACCAGGGTTTAGAAACACTATCACTTTTTCTATGTTGATTTGTATCCTGCAAACTTACTGAATATCTGTATCAGTTCCAAGAGTTTTTGAGTCTCTTAACAAATGGTTTCTTCTACCTGGAATATTTTTAATCTTTTTTTTTTTTTTGAGACAGAGTTTTGCTCTTGTTGCCCAGGCTTGTGTGCAGTGGTGCAATCTCAGCTCACCAGAACCTCTGCCTCCTGTGTTCAAGCGATTCTTCTGCCTCAACCTCCTGAGTAGCTGGGATTACAGGCATGGGGTACCACACCTGGCTAATTTATTTTGTATTTTTAATAGAGACAGGGTTTCTCCGTGTTGGTCAGCCTGGTCTCAAACTCCTGACCTCAGGTGGTTCACCCAACTCGGCGTCCCAAAGTGCTGGGATTGGAGGTGTGAATAACTGCACCTGGACTTTTAATCTTTTTAATAATTCCTATTTGCTTTTTAAGATTAGCTGGTTCACTACCTCTATATTAATTTTATATAATTAGTGTCATAGGGGTCCCCCCTACCTCCTGGGACTTAACCTGCTACAAAATGGCACCATTTTGAGAGCAGAGCCAATACCAGAATGCATCCTGACCTGGGACCCAACAGACTCTGCATCTTCATTTCCCTGGGGCTTCGTCATCTTATAATTCTAGAGGTTAGGGACCAAATAAATCAACTGAGCTAAAATCAACATGTTAGTAGGGCTGAATTCCTTCTGGAAGCTCTAGAACTCATTTTCTAGCTTTTTGAAGCTTCCCCATGCCACCTTCCTCAGGATCTGCCTTTTTTCACCTTGAAAGCCATCAGTGTAACATCTTCCCACCTTTCTTACCTCTATTCTTATTCTTCATCTTCTCTCTCTGACCTTAACTCTACTGCCTCCCTCTCATGAGAATCCTAATGATTACGCTGGGTTTATCAGTATAATTCACATAAATCTCCTCAACTCAAGATAGTTAACTTATTCACATCTGTGAAGTCCCTTTTGCCATAAAAGATTAGGATGTGGAGATCTTTTGGGCAAACATTATTTATCCTGCCATACACTCTCTTCCAATATTATCTGATCTCTTGAGTTAGAATTTGTTCTTCTTCCTCTGGATTTCAGAATCGTCATTGTATATCTTTAATATAAGAAATTTTAGAATGACTTTGAAATTTGGGATAATCTTTCTACCTTTACTGTTATCTTCTTGGTGACAAAATTGTGCATTTCATCAATGCAGTCAAACAGGCCTGAATCTGGACGCAAGATTTCCTTTTCATCCAGGGTAAATGCAGACAAGTTGTACTGGTGGCAGATACGAGAACAGATAGTGCAGCCAGATACCTGGTCCAGATCTCATCTTACCACCTATTAGGGAGAAGCAGCCCTAATTTCTCAGTTTCCTCAACTGCAGCTTGTGCATAATTGTAGTATTTACTACATAGATTTATTGTATTAATCAATGAATATATGGGAATGGCTTAGATCAGTAATAAGCACATATTATTCACTCAAAACTGTTAGTTATTATTACTTTCCACTTGTGAGGTTATTGTAGGATTATAGAGTCAGTAGATAAAGCTGCAGCAAAGTGCCTGGAACATAGAAAACTGTCCCTACATTCCAGTTTTTTTTATTTATCATCATAATCTCTATTAAACAGAACAGGTTAAAGTCAAACAGAGTGAAGAACATATTGTGTTTGTAAGATAGGACTTCAGTGAAATGCACTCAACTTTGTGCTAATAATCTGATGTTTCAGGCTTTCTTATTTTCAGACAATACAGTCATAGGGTTAAAATATATGAAAGGTCAATAGTGTTATATGGGATGTATTTTATTAGTTTACTAATGAAATTTTAATAGCAATTACTTCAGACTTTTAAATATTGCAGAGTATTTTCAAGTATCTTATCCCATGGGGCCTTCATGTTAGCTCCAGGAAGTATCTAGCAGCCCAATGGCTACCTGATTCGACTTCTCAGACTATTATTATCCTTGTCACATTATAGAGCTTTAGTCCTTATATCATAGGATCTCCAAGTATTATTTATTTGTTTCCAAAGCAAATTGAACTATTCCACTCAAATGATTACAGTAAATAGAATAGAAACTTGTGGAATCATCTTCCTCTCTCGTAAGTGAAGAAACAGCAAAACAGTACAACATTTCAGCTGTTCCAGGTTCCTCAAATAAGTTTTACTTTTGCAAAACGAACCTCTAACTTCCTATATTCTCTGTTCTGCATTGTGAGCAACATGACCAGCAGCCACGTTTGTTGTAATTTTTTAAATATGTGGAAAAAAAGCAAGATATCAACCATGTATTACCTTAATCAAGATGCCAAATTATCTAACTTGTTTCTCCAGGCAAGCAGCCCAACCACAGGGACAGCTCCCAGGAGTCAATCAAGGTTGTCTGTCTGTCCATCTACACAGGACATCTGCAGGTAAGTGCTGACCAAATTATCCTAATCAATATTCTTTGGATCAGTATTTTATATTCTTGCTTTTTATTCTGAGAATGTGTGGCTCTTGCTTCTGCTTTACATGGTTCATAGGCAATTTATACTAGTTTTTTTTTTAATTTAGTTCATTTTCTTCAATAGACCTTTATTTATCTACTTCTGGTCCATACTATCATTTTCATCATTCTCTCTCTCTCTGTTTTTCCATGGCTTTCCTCTCCATTCCCATTTCCCATCCTTTGCCTACTGCTCTGTCTAGATCTGCCATCTTGCATGACATGTCAGAAGAGTCATTTGAGTATTGCACCCCTGTCATGGTGCTGAGCCCTGCTAGGAAGGAGTCTGGTAAGAAACCAGTAAAACAAAGACCTAGGAGGAGGAGAAAGGCCTCTGAGAGATATGAGCATGCTGCAGAAGAACAAATAAGAGGGAGAAGAAATGACTTTCACCTCCAAATCTCAAGCCCCAGGTGGAGGGAGCTTTACACAGATTCTTCAGATTCGTCTTCCTCAGATGAGAGTCATTGGATTCAGGCAAAAAGAAGAGCCCAGGTTAAATTCAGACTGTCAAGGAGAAGGAAGAGAAATAATAACAAGCTGTGTGAAAATGTAGCTGGGTCTTCTACTCCTAATGGAATTGAGCTTGTTGATCTGGGACCCAAAGGTAAAGAGCAACAAGAGCCAATCGAATGTGAGAGTTGCTCTTTAAATCTCCGCAGAGGAAAAGGTACAAGGTACCAAGAATGCAACACTTCTCTGACTCAAGGATCCTCCAAAATTAAAAGCTCCTCAAGAAATCATGAGAAGAGCAAAGGTAGATATCACCACAGAGATCCTCAGCTCTTGCAAAGCCTTAGGAAAAATGAAATAATAAAGAAGAAATTTTCAGAAACAGATTCCAGCACTGAAATACTGGCCGTTACAGAAGGTGGCAAGGACATGAATGATGCAGGGCTCCAGGTGAATAACCCTGTTCAGAAGCCTCCTGCCACCTATGACGATGGGTCTGATAATTTAGAAGTATGCAGGTCAGTTACTATAGAGAAAGTCTTGGTGTCATCCAAATATAGTTCTTGTTGCTGTGAGTTAGGTGTGTGTTTGACATCTACCCTCAAAACTTAATATTTATTTACAACATTCTTTTTCTAATCGGATATAACATGATAAAAGGAGAAAACGTGGGTATGAAAATAATAATGCTGATATAAACATGGGTTCGAAAGCTGTTACCAAGTACAATTAGATATTCCCTTCCTTTTCATTGAATAATGATTTATCCTGGAAAAGGGGCTGATTCAGTTGAGTCTTGCACTCATTCTAGTTAGGACAATAATAGTGGGGGAATTAAGAGTGAGACTGTGTGAAATGTTGGATTTTCAATGGAAATCGATGAACTGCTGGCATCCTGACAGATATTCAAGGCTTGCATTCTTTAAGGGCAGATTTTTGTATCAGAAAATAATCTGTGCAGTTGGCTTTAATTTGTTCTCCAATTGTCTGACTCAGCAGGGTAACTGAAAACGCAAAGGACATAGAAACAGGTCAGGGACATATCAGTGGGGTTGCAAGAGCCTTTAGGGAAGGGGACCACATTAACTTTACCGATAAATATATACTGAAAAGTTCAACATGTGGATATTTTTAGCCATGAGACAGCTTTCTTGCTCTTTTTAACCCAACAGCATACATTTTCAAAATAATGTATGTAAAAAGAATTCTGGGAATACCCATGCTATTGTGCATAAATGAGACAATTGCAAACAAAGCAATATATTTTCATATTTTCATATTACACCCAATCATTTAAGCTGTTTAGATTCTGTATAAGAGCAAATGAAGATTTTCACTGTGCAATATTTGGTATGTTTTGGTTTGTTTTTTATAAAAACAGAAGTTACTTTATAAAATGTGTATACATATTCATGTGAATTGCATGACCCAGAGAAGGGGACTCATGTCTATTCAGGGCAGGAGTGAGAAGAAGAATTAAACTCTGCATGTGAATAATATAAGAATCGTTTGTTTCTCTGAAAGTTTTATAGGATAGCCATTCATAAAATCCTCATTTATTTATGCATTCAAACATCTATTATGCATTGGGCTTTATTCTAGACAAAATATTATAGTGCATAAGATTTGTATACTCTCTGACATCTTACAGCTTATAATCTATTGTAGAACACACACCAAAAACAAATTAATTCACAGTTGATATATAATTATAATCATGAAAAGAACTATGAAAGCACATAGCAAGGAAGCTTAACCTATTGTGGGAGATGAGATAAAAACTAAGTAAGTGACAAGCGGGCTAAGGCTCAAAGGATGACAGGAATTGATTAGGAGAGAAGCAGGGAAGACCATCCAGGCAGAGGCAGCCACTGGCAGGAAGCAGGAGGAGGGAAGGAGCTTGGCAATCAAGGAATATACAGCTTGCTATTGTAGCTAGGATGTGGTAAGTAGGGTGGTTGCGTGGTAGAGAGAAGGATGGAGAAGTGGCAAGGGATAGACTGCACAGGGCCATGTGAAGCATGCTACGTGACTTAAGGGGGATTTACAAAGAAACTGTCACCGTTTAATTTATATATGAATGTAATTTCTTATAATATTTTGATTATGATTTATGTGTATCTTTTCTGAGAAGTCAGGGAATGGACCAAACCACTCTTTCTAGTCTGAATGGAGAATTTTCCTATTGCAGCCATCTGTTGTCATTCCCCAAATCTAGCTTCCAACTTAATCTAATGAAAGACAGTCAAAGAAACTAGTTGTAGGCTTAATGGTAATTGGAGAGAAAAATAATGCTTGCAGTTAAAGTCATAGTGACTGGTTCTCCTAACTGAAAAGCACTGTTCTTGAGAAACATTTTCAAAGACAGGATATTTAGCTTCAACTGCTACTAATGAAAGTGAGATAGATGAGCCTATAGGTATTATTTCCTACTGGAGATTACCATCAAAATACTAAGCAAATGCTGCAGGCAGCATATTATACTGGAGGCTGAGGATACAAAGTAACAAAAGACTTGATTCTTCTCTTAAGTGGCTTATGATCTAAGTGGCAGAGATTGAATACATACCCAGAAAAAAAAAAAAGTCCGTAAGACAGTACAGGATGAATGTAAGAAGAGGAATACTTCAGGATTTGAAGAAAGAAAATTTACTGCGATCTGGGATGATCTAGAAACCCTTTAAGAAGGGGAGGGACTGGAGCTGAGAAAAATAGAATTTACATTAGAACTCAAGGAGGGGGGAATACCATTAGCACAACAGGGACTGGATACTGACACTTGCATTTACCAATTTTACATGAACTTACATGACTAGATTGGAAGGTTTGTGTAAAATGATAAAAAATAATTCTTTTAAAAAGACATTTTGAAGAAAACGTACATATTCAGAACTGTTTATTCTGTAAATCCTTGTTTTCAAACTCCCTCAATGGACCTCTTGAGTTCCAAAGAGGCTGCCTCCAAAGCTGAGACAGGTCAAGGAGACTGTGCTTCCCTCAGCCCAGAACACCCTCATGATTATGTCTCTTATATAGTGGTGTTCTACGTAATATTCCTTTAAGAATAAAAAAGGTTCAAGGGCAAAAAAAAAAATACAGAAAAAACTTTTCTAAATAAAATAGGCTTAAGGAAGTCACATCTATAGTGCAGTCACCAATGTCTCTGAGAAAGGAACCTAGATTTAGGAAATGGAAGTACTCTGTGTGTTGTGTAAAATACTGGGATAATAATGGATAGGAAAGGAAGAACAAATGGAAAATTAGCATTCCACCAGGGGAAGAGAGATAATCTTAGAGTTTGGATTTGATGAGAGCATGAGATAGAGGAGCCAAGAATGACTCCAAATCTTGGAACCTGAGAAAACAGTAAATGCTGATATTAATGAACAAAGGCAGAAGAAGACAGAGGCAAGTTAATTTAGGAAAGACACAGTGAGTTCAATTACAGACAAGCTATTTGTGGTTTCAGTGACATTCCAGGGTCAGCTGTCCAGCAGACAGTGAGACATGTTATCGAAATGCAGAAGAGCAGTCAGAGTTGGGGGTGAACAATTTTTCACTAATTAGTGAACTACACACAGCCTGACACTAAACAATGGCATGTGTGCATGTTTTTAACACAATGTATTAACACGGGGTACTAAAGATATTAAACACTGAGAAATCTATTCAAGATCAGGGAAGACACAGAGATTTGGGAATCATTCTCAAGGAGGTAGCAGCGATGTCTGGAAAGTGAATGAAATCCATGCAAAAGATTGGGGGTAGGAAAAAAGATACCTATGATCTCTAGAAATGGACAGAGCCTGAGCACCAGGGTCTTCTGTGTAGGCAGAACAGTGACCCCTGAGACAAGCAGCAATTGCCTATGAACTTGCACTCTCAGACATGCATAGCAAGAGCAGTCTCAGCCACAACCACAAAAAGGAAGAAGTTCTTAAGCCTTCTTCCATTTCTGTTCCTGGCATATGGTCCCCACATGCATGCTCTATTCTTTTTCCCTCCTTCATCACAGCCTTATTTAGAGAAAGTATTTCCATCAGCCCATTATACCTCATAGGGAATTTGACTCATCATACTATTATACGCACAGTTATTTCCACAGTACAGTGGAAAAGTCCTTGCTTTAAAAATAAAAAAAAAGAATTGCATTTAATTAAAAAAGCAAACAAACATGAATCAGATCATGTTAACCCATGATTGAAACTTTTTCGTGGCTTGTAAATTTCCTTCAGTAAAAGCTGCAAAACCTTTAATATTTACAAGTCCCTGTTGATGGCTCTATCAGATCTGCCTCTCTCGCTCCACCACCCACCATTAACCATGACCTTTTCATGCTGGTCTGTTTTCCATTCCCTGGAAGTGTTCAGACCCTACCCCTTTCAGGACCTATTATGGCTTTACCTTACCTCCCTGACTCTTCTCCAGACAAATTCCGATTCTTTCTCAGTTTAAATGGCATTTGTTTAGGAAAGGGCTCCTGATCTGCTAACCAGCATGCAGGTTCCCTGGCAGTCACTTCCATAGGATAATTTTAATTGTTGAAATATAGGCATTATTGTGATTTACGGTGTCAAATTTGTTCACTGCAAAATCCAGAGTATCTGGAAAAATGCCTGGCAGCTAGCACACTCTCAACCCATAGTTTTTGAATGAATAGCTTTAGGGAAAATGTACTTTTCTAAGGGAATAATTCTTAGGATGCAAAATCATAGCACTATATGTTGGATTGCCTCACCTGCTGTAGGGCCAACATGTAAAGAATACTCTACACCAGTAGTTCTAAAACTTTAGTGAACATCAGTGTCAACTGAAGGGCTTGTTAAAACGCAGATTCCTGGACCCAGCCTTAGAGTTTCTGAAGCCCTTACTCTGGGGTTAGGTTCATGAGCCTGTATTTTTTTAAGCGTTCCCAGGTGATACTAAAGCTTCTAATGCAGAAACCACATTTTGAGAAATGCTATTCTATGCTACAAATCATTCCCATGCTTTAGATAGGAAGAGAAAAGAGAGAAAAGAATCTAAATTTGAAAAGCCAAATGTCTATGGTTTTTTTCATCATATTCCCTTGAATGCTGACACAAAGCATGACTATGTTACATTCCTGTATTTCACAGTTACACCAATACAGCATGGGGTGTGTCACCAAAACCATAGGCTGGCAAATTCCCACCTCTACCAGCAACTCAAATGTTGTGGTTTGGTTGTTGCTTGCATTCAAATCCACTTCCTCATTTCAACTACTTCCATTTCTATCAGTGAGTCCACAGATTTCCTGGATTTTCCATTTTTGATCTTATTCCTTCCATATTGGTTGCATCCAATCTCCAACAAAGTACTGTCATTTCTTCCTCCAGACATTGGCATCTGATCTTGCTTTCGTTCTCAATCCCAGTGTTCTATTCCAGTCCTTTCCTACACTTTCCATCTCCACCACATCCACTCTTTAGCCCACTACCTGTTTTGTTAAAGACTTTTCTGAGATAAAATCAACAGAAATCCATTCAAATGAGCTTAA